AAACTCCGCTCTGCCCCTTGAAAATGGGTTTTACTTTGAGGAGCACTCTTGCCTTTTAAAAGCAGGGAGAAAAGCTTTCAGGAAAACTTTGGAATTTGCCTGAAAAGAGGGTATTATTTTAAATAATTCACCCCTTAACTGGTTAGTTTAGAAAAGTTCAGCAAATTTGGCCTGATGTCCTCGCAATCTGCCTCTTAAAGGTTTTTTTTCCCAAACATCAAGGTCCCTCCCGCACAGAATTGTTTAATTCAGATTAGAATAATGACCCTGCCAGCTGCCTGCCTGGGCAGGGCCCAAGGAGAGTGGGTGAAGGAGACGAGCACTATTTAGTAATCCTATCAGCTGCCGTATGAGTGTCTGCTCCTCATAGCAGCTCAATCTTCAGATTGAGTTGTTCAGTCAATCATGGATTCAATATTTACTTGATGATTCAATATTTACCAAGGCGCTTTGCAGCACACGCGGCTGAAGAGATATTGCTGCTGCAAGGATCCTATCAAAGACTCGTTACATGAGACATTTAAGGGTGAGGGTTGGGGGAGAGAGAGGGGAGTTGGTATCTAATCTACGGCAATGAGACACTAATGCAAGGTGCGCTGGAACTGAGCCAGTTCCCTGCTCGAAATTGGTGTCTGCAAAGTGTTTTGTGTTGGTTACACTCGACTGGGTATAAACATCTTGCCAGATGTAGATCTGCATTCTGAGAGAATGACTCACATTTAAAGTTTAACCTTGAGTATGAATATTACAGTCTATATATTCACACACACACACACACACACACACACACACACACACACACACACACACACACAAACATACATACATACATACATAAATACATACATACACACACACATACATACATACATACATACATACACACACACACACACACACACACACATATATATATATGTAAAGATATATATATATATATATATATATATATATATATATGTATATATATATATATATATATATATATATATATATATATATATATATATGTATATATATATATATATATATATATATATATATATATATGTATATATATATATATGTAAAGATATAAAGATTCCTATTCCTTTCACCAGAGTCATGTCTTATGGTAAGAACTTGTGTTCCAGATGGATGTGTGGCAGTGTGAAAATTTTATCTTTGTGGAGTGTGACTGGCTGTATAGCACGGCTTGCAGGCTGCATTTCAATAGGTTTGCCTCCGCCTTGCACTTGTTGCATCAACCTCAACCTCTTTGATCCCTAAGTCTGATTAGTTTCTACTGCTGTCAAAAGAAACATTTCTGTCTACTTATTATGTCCCCCTGTACTTATCTATAATATCTATAGTAAATAAAAATGCCTAAAACGGAAAGGGATTCAATTGCAGACACATTGTATTCTGTGTCAGTCTGTGAGTGAAGCTGGTATGGCCAAGGAGTGCTTTGAAATAAGCAGAAAGCTGTAATAGTTTTTCTTTTTCAAGCTGGAAAGAACATTTGTAAAAGGGAGAAAAAAAATCAAAACTAAGCATGGATTACAAATAATTGGCTACCATCTGAAAACACAGGTAAAAACAAAAAAAGGTGCCTACTGTCCTCTCAGTTTCATTTTACTTGGTCTCTCTAACTGTGTCTCAGAAACTGTAACATCATAGTCACTGAGATATCTATTTTGATCAGAAGAGGGTGAAAATAAATGGCCCGGTGATCAGACAGGTTTCTAAGAAGCCACCAGGTTAGCCAAAAGTATTTGGAATACAAAATAATGTAATGACTGAAAATTATTATCCAAAATTGTGTGTTGTGAACATCAACCTCAGCTTACAGACTGACTTCCTGCTTTAAGCTTCACTTAACAGACTTACCTTGTTAGTGTCCACAGTTGTTTGTGAAATGGAGGTTTATTACCAACATTACTGGTGTCTGCAAAGTGTTTTGTGTTGGTTACACTCGACTGGGTATAAACATCTTGCCAGATGTGGATCTGCATTCTGAGAGAATGACTCACATTTAAAGTTTAACCTGCACATAGTGGTTTAGATGATTGATGTCTAAACTGCCTTGTTTATGACATCATGCTTGTCTGACTGCTTGTGTTTCTTGCCTATCTCAGACATTACTTTGGTAAATGCAGTATGTCATCATAACCTACAGAGACTAGATTTGTTACTTAAGTAAAAGTAATAGTAAAGCAATGTAAAAGAAATCCTATTATACTCCCATTGTAAGTAAAGGTACTGCATTCAAAACTTACTCAAGCAAAATGTACTTTCAAAAGTAAAATGGCTCATTGTCAAAAAGATTGTTAATACTGATGCAGAAGTGCGTAAGCAGAACTGTACTGTGGTAAGCCTAGTTCACACTACACAATTTTAAGCCCGATTTACCGCTGTGATCAGGGGTAAATCAGTGATCGATTGGCGGTCGCCAGTCGTTACGTGTGAACTACTCAACGACGCATCAAAATGGCTCCCTGACACATTTCTCACACATCGCCAAAGTCTGCCAGATTTCTAGCATTCCAAATATCTGGAGGAGTCGGCTCGACATCCACATCCAGCCAATGAGAGCAGGCAACTGGCAGAGCAGGCAGCTACTTTTTACTCCCCTCCAGCTCTCTCCGTAGCTCAGATGATCCCTGCTACCTGCGTGTGCTAATCCATTCTTTCACCCCGATTCTTTGTTTGTATAATTGCTGTCTTTATAATAACAAACAACAGCTGTTTCATGTGTAGGTTCACCTCATTTCCCGTTTCACATTTTATGTGTGTTTTCTTGACAAAACGTTGTTTGAAGACCAGCATCGGGTGGCACAGCCGCTGTCAGCTTGTGTAGTGACCCCCTGTCACCGATCAGTCACTTAGTGTGAACATCACAACAACTTCAAGACTCCCCGTCAGCAAGTCGTGTAGTGTGAACAGCATGGCCATCGGCCGAAGCTGAAAGTCGTGTAGTCTGCACAAGCCTGTAGTTGGTTATTGTGAAGCTGGTTTTAAAATTTCAGCTACTAGATATTGTATTCTACCTTAGAAAGGATGAAAGCCGAAGTTTACCGTATAGTTATATAAACTTAATCATAATAGACTAAAAGAATATAAATGATTGAGGAATGGAAACGTATTCAGACTTAATGGCCACTTCAAACGTAGGGAGTCACCACTTTTTTTGGTTTTTATACATCGAAAGAACTTCTGTAAAAAACAGACCTGGCATCTAATTGAGTTTATTTGTCAAAAAGTGTAGCCTCACCTGGCCAGTAAAAGGGACATGCTGTGTAATTGGTGCTCAGAATTTAAATTTTTTCACGTACGTGCATTAATGTCATGCACTTTGATGCATGATTCTCGTTTAGCTAACTCAAACTTTAGCATTAGCTCATTGGTGACGAAGAAAAGTGAACAAGTCATTGTGGCTTTTCAGCAGTTTAAACTCCTTCAGCTAACGAGCAAAAGCTTAACCGATTTGCTTTTTGTGTAATATTGGGAAATTTTTCCTCTTAGAAGCCTCTTCAAAAAAACTAAAAACAGCTATTTCAGTGAAAACGTCTGAGAAGTTTAATGAGGAAATCTCTCTTTGGTGGAACTGCTAACAACTCATAGACATGGTCACAAGGCAAACAGGCTGGGAACCACTGGTTTAATGTTTTACGATAATTTGTATTTTAAAAGCTTATCAAATGTTCTTTTATGTAAAATCGTAATCTACAATGTAAATAGTAACTAAAACTGAAATAAATGTATCGGAATGAAAAGTAAATTTCCCTTTAAAATGTTGTGGAGTAGAAGTATAATGTAGCAGAAAACATTCAACAAAAAAAATACCTCAAAATTGTACGTAAGTATAATACTTGAATGAGTGTTCTTAGTTACCTTTCTACAAAAAAAGCTACAAAAATAAGAACCGAGTTGTGATAGACTGGAATTATCCTTTCATTTGGTCACTTTTCCAGTGTAAACACGCAACACACTGAAAACCTGCTTAGAATTAGTATTTAATATGGAATTTCTATCTCTTTCTTTCTCTCTTGTTCTCATATACACAAAAACTCCTTCTTGAACTCTCTCTTGTGCAACCATCTGTCAATTACCCCTCTGATTCTTAACTACCTAGCTACCAACCCTCATGCCGCTTTCCCTACACAGCGCACACACACACACACACACACACACACACACACGCAGTCACACACACACTTCATCTATCTTTCCCATAGTGATACTGTCATGGCTTTGATCAGAAATAAAGTACCAGCTGCTCCCACAAATCCCCTTCTTCCTCCTATCTTGTTTGGCTTGATCCCACTGGGAATAGTCATTCTGCCTGCACTTATGTATAAATATAGACATATATGAATACTCTACGTATGAAATGTGTCTACTGTTTTTCATATATTTAAATCATTTCCCCCTACAATTTCTGAAATCTGATCTGGCAAATTGACGCTCCATGAGCAGAAGACAGGAGATTTAAGGGAGTGAGAGGAGAGCCGTTGAAGAGACAGACGGTCCGATTGAGAGAGGGAGCTAAAGGGAATTGGAGACGGAGATGAAGAGAAATGAAGTGAGACAGAGGGAGGGTGGGGAATGGTGGAGTAGAAGAGAAAGGTGAGCGGTAGGATAAAGGAGGGAGAGGGTGCGTGTTGGAGGGGGGCAAATAAAGAATTTGTCACACTGCCGTCGGAAGGAGATTGAAAAAGAAGTGGGAAAGGAGAGTGGAGTTTGACTTGATATAAAGCTTTCTTACGCTCTTAAAGTGCAGCTGTATCCTGTCCACTTAGCTCCAGTTCTGCCTTGTTTTGACTCAGTGCTTCTCTTTTTCTTTCTCCTTTTTGTTTATTTCCTTTCCTCGTCCCTTTTCCCTCCCCTTCTTTTCTCTTCTTTCTTTCTTTCTTTCTTCTCTTTCTTCTTTGCTACCCCTCTCTCATTTCTTTCATTGTTCTACCTCATTGCCCTCTCCTTCTCTTTATTTCCCTCCATTCCTCCCTCCTTCCCTGCAGGCACGTCTATAATCCAGGTGACAGCAACAGATGCTGATGACCCGACTTATGGGAACAGCGCCAAGCTAGTGTACACACTGGTGCAGGGCCAACAGTACTTCTCTGTCGATCCCCAGACAGGTGAGTGTGTTTATATATCTGAGTGTGTGTGTTCCCGTCATAACACACATGGGCGGAGAAATGTAAAAGATGCGCAGATGTCGGAAAGCTAATACACACACGCTGCACAAGAGCAAATACACTCAAGATGTTGAAGTGCAAACACACAGGGTGTATGAGCAAGCAAGTGAATGAACATGTGAGAGTGGACGGACATGATAACACACACGCGTACATGCAGGTATGCATGAGTGTGCAAACACAGGTGGAGCTAAACATCCGAGAATGTGTGAGCTGCATGCACAAACAGAGACTCGTCTCTCTATTTTTCCCCTCTCTGCCCTCTTTCACTCAGTTACTAACACATATTGATGCACACATGCACAAACACACGCACATTCAAACTAACTATTTTCCCCCACATGCATCCCTCATTCTCTTGTCACACTTAGTCATCCATCTTTCTCACTTCCCCTTTCCCTCTTGTGCCCCCGCAAACACCCTCCTCTCAAATGCACACTCACTCACACTCACACACATACACACCTCAACCTCTCCCAGTGTTCCCCTCCATGGTTCACCCCAGTATGAGTTGGCAGAAATGTATTCATGATGGCAGGGCCTGTGTGCGCCGAACAAAACACAGAAGCAGCCTAATTTTATTATTTCTGAATGAAGCAAAAACAAAAAGACATATGTTCAAAGAGAGATGTCAGCAAAGGTTTGTGAACTATTACACAGGATAGATTACAGGGCGCTCAAAGGACCTGTCTGCTGTGTGGGCTTTCAATATGCCTCCATGTCACGCATGTCACCTAAGGGCAAAACATTTTTTGCTGCGTGGAGTGTGAGGGTGGAGTGTGCCTTATTTATTTCTTTTATTTCATTATTGTTACTTTTTTAGCATCATACCTTGGAGGGAAATCATTGCTTGGTTGACTCAGAAATGAAGTTCTAACTGTTTTGATTGACAGTGTGCATAAATATTTAGCATTTACCTTACAATGCTGCTGCTGAAGTTGATTGTTGTTTGCCTGTGGGAATATGTGCCTGCTTGTAAGGGTTTACTAAGGAACACAGGTGGACAATACATGTGTTTTGCTCATTGCTCATGTTTAGTAATTGATTGCTTTGACAAATGAGGACCTCTGAAACTAGTGAAGAGAGCTGCAGCACTGATGCTGATTGGGGAATTTAAGCTTAATTCTACCAAGGGTGTATTAGTCGTGACACTGTGCTATCAGACAAGCTTTAGCATTCTGAATGTGTCCGTTCTCTTCTCCCCTCTTCCCTCTTCTCTCCGTTCTCTATCTCCCTCTTGCAATCACCCATTCCTCGTTGGCTCCATCACCAAAGGTCTTATTCAAAAATGTACACTCGGAGGCGAGCACATTTGCTCATATATTCAGTTTGTTTGCTTATGAATTCTGCTCATGACCCCAGACATATTCCTGCATGTTAGCATTCAAAACAGCCCGCGCTGAATGTGATTCACCTTGAGCTGCCAATTCATCCAGGCCGGTGTTTTGGCTGATGTTAGGTGAGAGCAGCCAGCACTTGATGTGCAATATCCAATCATATGTAGCAGAATGAGGTCATTTACACAGAGGAGATGTCGATGTTGAACGCGCGTAAGTGATGCGTCTTGGTGTGCTGTTAAAGAGAGTTAGATACAGAACGAGATTTTACGCTCTGTCAGCATGTCTGGCGGTCGGTATTGGGTGATTTATCATTTCCATATGAGCTTCCTTACATATCTGTTTGTATATGCTGTGTGTGTGTGTGTGTGTGTGTGTGTGTGTTTCTGTGTGCTTTTAACGGGACATTAAGTTATATATTGTCGCTGTCAAATAGAAACTGAGCGTCTCCAAAAAGTGGGGAAAGCTGTCAGGTTGTCAGGAAAAGCAGCCATGTCTTTGGCCTGATGACAATGTGGTTTGACAACATCTGTTTTGAAGGGCTTCAAAAGCCCAAGAGGTCTAAGAAGAACTTGGTCTGTCAGAGTGAAAAAATTTTAATTACTAAAACTAAAGCTATTGAGTTTTTACACACCAACAAACTTGATCTCTTTATTACCTATGATAATGACAGAGGAACTGCTAACAACACTGACAGGTTTGTGATACATATATATATTATTATATTATGTATATGTGTGCAACATGTTAAAAATCCTCTGCAATTAGCCAATATCTGCTCATTTCCTGGTCTAGCTCTATCACTAATAAGCCATGAGAACAACTTTGGGTTGCCCAAATCCATTCGGCTTAACTTTCTCTGTCTTTGTTTCTCATTGATTCATTGGGCACACCCGTCCAATGGACCATTTTAACAGTTACATGAAATAATACCATATTAACATTTATAACAGGCTAAATTGCTTATTGGAAAGCACAAAACCATGACCTTTTTATTAATGACTTATTAACATGTATAACTGAGGTCTTGATAGGGCCATGACTTTCTCAGTTCATAAAGAGCAATTGGATCTGCTGTAAATGTTAATAAATCATTAATGAAAGATCATGGTGTCCATTAAGATTCTCTGTCCACCACTTTATAAGGTATCTTCTTGAAGTCAACTGGGTTTGCTACTACTGAAAAACAGCTAATCCAGATGCCTCTGACTTAGACAGATAAAAAGGTCAAGAGGCTTTATAATCAGCCATCAGTTCTGCATGTTAGTATGCCATTATTAAAGGCTTTTTACATTACAATAATCCATCTAGAATTGTAAAAGGTGTTAACAGATAATGTGTGCATTGCATTGCTGATGAGACTGAGAGTCATAGCAAGGCATGCTTGACCAAAACTAACTATTACAAATGTTCCACAAAGCATAAATAAATGATTTATTAACCATTATTAAAGCATTAGTTACAGCTTGTAACTCTATTATAAAGTGTGCCTTATTAGAAAGTGGTACCTACAAATGCCTGGTGAAGAGATAATCTATCAAGATTATCAAGAACAGAAGATGTTGTGATACCACGCTTACCTTTAGAAGATACTGTGTCATTAAAAATGTGAATAGAGCTGAATGAGATCCCAATTTGCAGGGAGCTTTTGTTCCAAAACAGAACCCAGGCCATAAAGCGTATTTTGGAAGCCATGAGGTCCAGTGCCTGATAATCACCGAGCCATAAATATTGATCAAAAACCCTTTCAGTCCCACACAGATATATTATGGTCATTTGGTGCCATTTCGCTACCGTTAAAACCTTATTTTTCCCTGCTTTAATGGCTTCATTCCCACCCTGATCCTACTCTTTGTGTGTGCGTGTGTATGTGTGTGTGTGTGTGTGTTCCCTAGGTATTCTGCGCACGGCTGTACCTGACATGGACAGGGAGACTCAGGACCAGTACCTGGTGGTGCTCCAGGCCAAAGACATGGGGGGGCACCTGGGTGGATTATCTGGGACCACCACCGTCACTGTCAAACTCACTGACGTCAATGACAACCCTCCACGCTTCACCCAGAGTGAGTAACTCACCAGGTCATCCAGCCACCCACAGGAGATAAATGACTAGATAGGCAGAGCAACATTGGACACACTGTTTATGTATTGTACTACATCCCGCCTCACCCTCAACCACATATACACACACTCACCATGCTGGAGTCTGTTTGGAAATACTTCATTGCGGTATGTTTTATACAGCTTGGAGTACCAGATTAGTGGGGATTCACCTCATTAGGGCAATGCAGTATCAAGTGAGTGATCAAGTCACTGTATAGTAACAGAAATTACTTTAAATTACTTAACTTTCTAGTACTCATTATACATTCATTAAACACTATGAGAAAACAAACACTAGGCTGCATAACAGCATTAACACAGTGTTTATTTTGCTCCAAAAGGCAAAAGAGTTCTCAGACCTTTTTGACCTGCAGGTCCTGTCAGGATTTTCACAGCAGCGGTCAGGCAGACGAGACTCCTGCCGGGCTGCAAAGTGCCTCATCAAACATTCAGTCCTGGATTTCACTTGCCTTTGCAATGATACATCAGCCAGCATTTCCAACTCCAGCCGTACTTTCAGATTACAGAAAATAATCTGACAGCATCTCTATTTAGGCCAACCTAATTGGCTTGCTAAATAACAATTTGATAGTGTTTAACTTAATTTCACTGTTTGTGATCATGAAGTTATTTTGGTGCAAAGGATAGATGTCCTATGTAGCTGTTTGACTTATATAGTTGATAAATTAAATTAAATTAGGCCTTAGTTCTGTGGCTTAGTCTACTGTTGGATTTGTGTAAACAAAATTTGAATCAAATTAGTTAATTATATAATGGCTGCTGGTCACCATGAATATTTTGTAATTATGTTATGTATTAGGCGTCATTGTCCTAGTTAGGCATTATACTGTAAATCATTCTTTTAGTTATCCAGAAAGTGGCTGATGAGCTGGTTGGCGAAGTCCCTATACAGCACTGCTCTGGCTTCTTTGTGTTTGTAAGTCTCTGTTGGATGAAGTGCACGGATGTCTCAGAGGCCTACATTAATCAATTCCCGAATCTGCTATATCTCCAAAATTGGTAGGTGTGTTCTTTCTGATCTTCAATAGGACAAGCCAGGTTGACTTCCTGTGAATTGTTAGGAACCAAACGGCCTTGATGGCCAGTGTTCTTGTCATCTTTTACTTCACGTTGTCCTTTCTGCCATTTCTCATCTAAGCAAACTCTCTCCCTTACAAGATAATTGCTGACCTTATTCCAATTAAAGTGAAGGGAGTTGAAGCTGGAAAATATAGCATTGTGTATCATTGCACTTCATTTGGATTTGTAAAAGGGCTGATGGGAAAGATAACTTAATATTGCATGAAAGTACTACTGAAATTGAAATAACGAGATATATCACGTCTTTCAGGGAAAGTAATAATTGTTGGAAGGGCTGAGCATATATCTAATTGTGATTTTTCTGATCGCAACAATATGATTGGAATTAATTATTTTCTATAATTAAATGCAAGGCTTGTAGTTGTGGTCTACACAGTTTTAAACAAGATAAGTTTTTAACATAATCAAAAATTAATTTTGTTCCACATGAATAGGGCCAGATAAGAGCAGCTGCTTGTTGTTGACATCCTTCTGGGATTCAAACCAAAAAAGTTAACATCTAAGTAGACTTGACTAGTTTTCTAAGAAAAAACTTAAATTTAGCGCACATATTATTATATATATTCATTTATAATTATGATATTTAAGATTGGCATTTTATTTATTGAATAACAGCTACATATTTGGTCAGTTGTGTGTAGAGTACATCGTTTTATGATAGAATAGAATTAACTAAACTAAACATCTTACTGATGACCCCTAATAATACTGTTGACAGCTCTGCACTTTAGCGGCTTAAGCTAACATTTCTTTTTGAAACATAACATGAGTTTCGCACAACTCTGTCCGCCAGTTGTCTTTTGCATTACATGTCACCTAAATTAGTTTGACTGTGTGGTCCCCCTTCAAAGGGTTTTAAAGTACCATGGTCTCCATGAGTTGTGTGTCACGGTTGCTGATGCAGCTCCAACTGCTGACTGTGTTGATAGGCGAGCCAAATCAGCAGCAATAATCTTTATCTACAATAATTAACAGTTGATTTTAGAACACCAGCATGCACCTGTCCCTTTCACCTCACATATCTTTGCATCACATCTCTCCCTCTGGGCCCTGTTGCAGTTCTCCCCTTGGGGAGGTACACCTCACTGTTATCATAGTTAGTGAAAACTTTTGACCTTAATTTTTCTAAAGCAAGAACCTCCACTCTATAGGCAGCCCTTTGTCTTTTTCTTTCTTTCTTTTTTATTTAACCCATCTTTAACCAGGTGAGACCCTTTGAGATCTGTGCATAAAAAGGTTACAAATGAGAAAAATACCACACGAAACATATAAGATATACCTATAATCATCAAACAAGTAAGCTAACTTTTAAAGAAGTACTCACCTTGGCAAGTACCAGTCATAGCGTTCATCATTGTACTTATAATTGCTTTAAAGTCCAACATATAGACCTATTCTCTTAGTTTCAAGTCTCTTTGAAGGGTGTTTCAAGTGAGCGGAGCAGAGCACATAAAAGCTTTTTTTCCCAGTTCCGTCTGTACACCAGGAACTGACAAGAAGAACAGATCTTGTAATCTCAAACAATAGTTACAGTCAGATTTCTGCTCAGTTAGGGTGGAAATATAAGATGGTGGTTTACCCCGAATGGCTTTATAAATGAACTAGAACCAATGTTTATGTTAAACATCAGATGAGTGGCATTTCTTATACAATAAAACCAGCTTGTACCTGTAGTACAATCACCAACAAACAAATTATCTGACACACCGTATGAACTAGCCAACTAAGAGTTTCTTCTAGTTGTTTGGCCAATTCAGAATTAATGGTGACCAGCTGGATACATTTGTCTGCAACAGTTCTCTTTCTAGCTGTCCAAATCAACTGTAGGCGACTAAAACTTTCACCTCCTACAGCTCGTTAAGACACTTTTAATTATGCAAGTTATAGTTCAAATCTTGCAATGTGAAAAACACAACTGTGACTTGTCTAGTACTAACTGTAGTATAGAATTATTTTATTCACATCTACATATAATTCTAATACCAGTCCCTCATCATCTGACAGTTGCAGGAGTCGGTAAACCTAGCATAGCAGAGTGCAGGTGGATGCAAGAAAAGAGCTTTCAGGAGCTGGATTGGTATGCGATGAGGGTTTGTAGTCCAATAGAGCATTGGCTTTAATGCCAAAATTGAACTAATAATGTTCTGGGGTTTGGGGTTTGCTGGTCAAGTTGAACCCCATCAAAACTGATGTTTTTGAGCAGGCTGCTCTGAGGGTTGGAGGGCTTCTTGGAGAAAAACTTGGCTGATTCTGATCTGTCTGGGTGATGACGAGCTTGGTGGTGCCAACAGCTGTTCTGAAACCTTGCGATCTACCAAACCTTGTGGCTTTTGCCCATTGGCATCATCAACAGTGGACCATCCGGGCGTCAGCCGGGAATTTTTTTTTTTACAAGACCCAAATCTTTCAGATAATCATCACAAATGTAAACAATTTAACTCCTGACAAAACCCTAACCTTTTCTGCAGCCTGTGGGTGAATGTAGTGATACTGAGTGAGAGGGTGGGGCTGGGTAAAGTCTGCATGTATATAATCTCGGTCAGTCCATGGTAAAGTATAAACAAAAGTCCCGCTAGCTACCATATTGCCCATAGATTTGGGAACCACTAATGTAGCTAAGCAAACCTAACTACATGGTTCCTTTGATATCTGCTGAGGGTACATTCTGACATTTTTACTTGAGAATATGGCTAAGCTAATGTTAGTGGTACATGTCAACAAGCTAATTATCATAGGGTAAGTTGCCTGGATATATCTGATTGGGGACAATGTTTAAGGTAATGCATGATTTTTGTCATGTAGGCATAGATGACATGAATTAGTATTCAGGATACTTGGGGAGTTGGCTGCACAATTTTGAGAAAAGCGAGATGCTCAAAACACCTGATATTCCCTAAATGGTTGTACAAGTAAACAACTGTTTCAATTAAATCTACTCATCATGCTGTTGATTTATTTTATTTGTAAAACACAAACAGTTTTAAGTAGTTCTGAAAATTACTATTAGAAATTACATATCAAATTAAATGTAATGTTTGGAGTAGTCATGCAATGCAGTAAATTAAATTAAATTTACACTTTAGTGGTCCAGACAGAACAGCAGGGACCACACAAAAAAAATGTGGCACTTGCTCTGTACTACACACTCTGACCTTAGCCCCAGATCTTATCAACTCCTAGGAACGCCCTTGCTATTGCCTCTACTGGTCGTGCTGGTGACTCTGTACATACATGTACTTTATTGAATGTATTGATGCTAGCCTACACCCGGAGTTCCTGTATATCCGTGTGTGTCTGTGTGTGTGTGTGTGTGTGTGTGTGTGTGTTTCCCTGATCCTCTGCTTGCCTTTTTTTCTCTGTGTACCCTCACACACTCACGCTCCCTTGTGCCTGTGTGAACACAATCAAAGACAGCCACCCCGCCGCTCTACTCAATTACACACCCAGGCTTTTAAAAAGACACCCTCAAATCCGGCCCCCGCTTCTCCCAAGGTCAACACTGCTTATTCCTTCTGGCATTTACCACAGGGAGAGGATTACATTGCCGCGTAAGAACCAGGTATCGCCTGTACATTATAGCCTTAACAAGAAGAAAAAACAGGTCCTTCCTTGTGGGCTTGTCTTTTCACAGTGTCCTAGAATTTCTCCCTATTCAAAACATGATTCCAGGAACTAAGTGGGTTTGTTGTGTGTACCGTTTTGAACGCTGTCAGGGGATTTCTTATGCCCGGAGGAGGCAGTATAGCAGAGGGAAAGTAGGCTACCGTACAGATTGTAGTTGTTTTTTGGTTAAGTGATAAGTGGAAAATGTGGGATATTTTCAGACGCTTCATTGGCAAACATAATGCTCTAACCACAC